GCATATTTAGTTTCTAATCTGGTTCATCATTCTCTCTTATTTTTAAACTCAGACTGGCCTTTGTTTACATGACATATACATGTATGGAAACATCACATAGTACTCCATAAATATGTGCAATTTTGATGCTTTTCTGTATTATTTAAAAATAATTTTAAGTTAAAAATAAAAACCAAAGCAAAAAAAAGGAAAAAAAAATTTAAATAGAAAAAAACATAAAGAGTAGTATGTGGAGTTTTTATAACCTTACCTTGGTAGCACAAATGTGACCAATTCTTTGGTACTGATTTAAGTTAAATCAGGTACATTCCACCTAGGATGAAGTAATTTTTGTCCCAGTCAACATAGGCAATCTTCTTTCTGACCCAAATTGTGGGGATCCAGCAAGTCTTGCTGTCACTCCGGGCCATAATCTTGTCACTAAGTCCCCCAACAAATTGCACTCTGTGCAATCCTGGATCTGTCTGACTGTCTTTGGTCTTGCAGCACCTTGGGACAAGTCTTCATACACTAAGATTGTAGGACCAATTTGTTCCAGAACAATGGACATAGTTTCCTTTTCCATTAAATCTACAAAATGTCTGGCCCACCTTTTACAGTAATTTTTATAAAAGGACCATGACAATAACTATTCTTTGTAGCCTAATACATCATTGAGTTTATATGAACTAAAAAAGTTGAAACTCTAATATAAATTTCCAAAATGTAGAATAGAACTTGGTAAGGGAACAAGATTATCCTCTTGTTTTCAACTCCTATTTCATTTAATTATTTTCAAAAATTTAAAAGTAAGTACATATTTTCCAATTTTATTTCTAGTTACTTAAAACCATTCTAGTCCAAAGGTTCACAGAGTAATATATTACCTTCTAGCTCTTATTTGAGTACAGAAAAACATTTAAAAAAATTAGAATATAAAAATAATATTAGTATATTGTGAATTAGTAAATCTCCCTTCTTCCTATCTGCTTGAACTTTGTTTTCCCCCTTTTTGGTTCTGAAGTATTACAACACCTTCATTCCTTATTCTATCAATGTTGGGTAAACATGTTATTGTAGTTCTGAAAAATATATTTAGCCAAAAGAATTAGAAAAATGAGGTAAAAAGGTGGGCAAGGGGCCCAAACAGACACCAGACGATTCAATCTGAGATAAAGGAAAACATGGAGTGGCGCCCTTGCTTATAGCCTTTGTGGCCTGGACTCTGTAACTTGGCTGCAATGAAAGCCATGAAAAGCATGTAGTAGAACAAGAGGGCTTTGCACACCCCAAAGAAACCTCACATGCACTGAACCAACACCCTCTGTATAAATCATCAGGTAAATATATTCTACTGGGTCAAGTTCACCTGTACGTCAGGATCTGCTTCCAGGTGAATCACTATATTCAAAGAGAGGAACTAAAGGAACTTCCCAGATATGGACAGGTCTTTATATGCAAAATATCTGAAGATAAACATTTTAATAGCCTTATAACACCATACCTACTTTCTAGATATATGCATCACATCCAGTAGTGATGTATTTCACTAAAATTCCTAATTGTGAAACTGAAATATTAATTTTAAAGCTTTGGTTGAGACTAATCCAGTGAATCTATTTTTCCTAACATTCTTCTCTAGTGCTCAAATTTGCCTCTTTGATATAGAAAGGGGAGTTCTGCTGTGAACATCAGAAACAACTTCTCTTAAACAGCATTGAAAAATACCAGGGAGGCACACCCTTTGTTTCACTTGCTATACTTCCTTAATAACGCCAACAAAAAGCTTTCAAAGGTGGAATTTTATACTAGCAAATGTCAATGAAGACCTGTTAAACACAGTTAACAAACTTACCTGCTACAGCAAGCATTCCACCCAAATTGACTAGGTGTGGCTTTTATTCATTGTTCAGCCACAGAGAACAGAATCTGTTCTCCAGTTCCCATCCCATTTAGGTTGACATTCCCTTTATCTAGGGGCTTATAATAAGCAAACTATATTCAATTTTGCAAAGGCAGATGTGCTCTTTTGGTATCCTAGAAACAAGTCAAAGTATGTTTTGTGGAAAGACCTGAAGTTCAAGCCTGTGATACAAACGAGTCTTAATGTGAAATCATAAAAATATAAGGACTGGAATTTTTTATAAACTGACTATTCTAGGGACAAGTATCAGATTATTTATAAAGGAGGTGATCAAAAGAGACAGAGAGCTGTTTGGGGGAGAGTAGATATCAGGGAAATTAAATAAAATTGTACATTACTTCTATAAAAATATCAGGATTGACATCCATAATAAAGAGATTTCTTTTCCAGATCAAACTGGTAAATGCCACTTAAAACTGCTCACACTAGCTCAATTATAACACACCTGCAAAGCATCTTCCAAGGAAGAGCCATATCAACCATCTCAGAGTTAGATTTTTGTACATATAATAGTTGCAGACATTAATCTTTTATCAGTTTATCATACTGCAACAGCTATCGTTAAATAATATACAAGGTTAAAAAGCAATTTCTAATTGTTCCCTAGGGTTTTCTAAGTAATGCCTTGTGTCTTGTGACATGTCATAAAATAAATTGTACTTCTCTGCATCATGTAAGTCATCTTCTGCAGCCTGAAATCTGAAATTACCCACATTGAAGAAAAAAAGGGAAATAGGTTCTATAGGCAAAAGCATGGAGAGTCAGATCAGAAAGCACAAGCCAGGAGGCTAGAAAACTTGCAGAATTTCTTAGTAGATTCCAAAAGTCTGTTTTTACATGTGATCCACACAAAGGACTGAGATTAGGAATGGAGAAGACTCTCCTAGAAGCTGAATATAGGGCACAGAGTTCACTTCCCTCTTTGCCCCTACTTTACCCTACACCTGGCTCTCTGATTCCTCAAAACAAGGCTTTCCAGTGGTGCTCAGAAGTTGTCCCTTGACCTTTGAAAATATATGCTACAGCACTATAGGATATGTTAGGCTTAGGTGTTTAATAATAAAAGCTGTTTCATTCCTTGCTCAGTTTGAAAATGGGACATCCCCTGTGAGGATGAGAGTAGTAATGGTGAGTTAAATGCTCCTTTGTTATAGTCAAGCTTTGACCAACGTCCCCCATCCGCCATCCTCAGTCCCTAGCAACAACCCTCCTATTCTCTGTTCCTATGAATTCAACTTCTGTAAGATTCCACATGTAAGTGAGACCATGTAGTATTTGTATTTCTCTCTCTGCCCAATTTCTTAGTATAATGTTCTCCAGGTTCATCCACGTTGTCTCACTTTAATATAGATACATCACACAATATTCATATTGCACACTTTAAATATATACACTTTTGTCAATTACACCTCAGTAAAGTAGGAAAAGGCAAAAACTGCCTCAGTTTATTCCCGTGTACTCATGTATTCTGGTTCATCAAGCATGTTTACTTCTCTCTGGTTTTGTTCGTATTAATTCTCCGTATCTCAATGTCTTTCTCTTCCCTGTTCCCATAGAAGCAGGAAAGCACTGTGACCCTTCAGTGTGTGAAAGCCCAGAAAAGGTTTCAACAAGGAATGTGACTGAAAGTCAAACAGGAGCGGAACTACTCCTACATTTTCCTTGCATCTAAATACGACACAACTTTCAGCTTTCACTGTGTCTATTATGGTCTCTGATGAAATAGGCAACAAATAAAGGTAACAAAGCCCTTTCGTATTTAACTTATTAATGGCTTAAAGGAAAGAGGCTAGCTAGAATTAGAAATGGGGCACCCTGGAGCTAAATTTGAGACCTGAAGAACTGCAGAGAAACAGGAGGTTTCAATTCTCCCTGAGAGGTGTCAAACCAAAATGCAACTTTGCATTTGAAGGTATCTGGACAAGATTAATTCTCAATAGGACAATTTGACCAGCTAATTACTTTTTTAACTATTCATTTAAACTCACTGATCCATAAACTACTAGACACTTGTCTAGAATGACACCACAATGTTATTAATTTCTGCAAACAGAAACTTTGTAGCTAGGTTAAGGTATAACCAGAATCAGCCCTGGCCAGTATTCCTCAAGAATGTCAAGGTCATGGGAAATAGGGAATGATTGTGAAATGGTCACAGACCAGAGGAGAGAGGGGAGACGACATTCAAACAAATGCACCATGGTCTCCTGGATTGGACACTGGAATAGAAAGAGTACATTAATGAAAAACCTGGTGACATCTGAACAAAGCCTAGAGTTCAGACAAAAGTAATAGGTGAATGCCAGTTTCTTGGTTCTGATACATCTACCATGGTAATCTAGGATGTTAACAGTAGGGGAGGGCTGGGAGTGCAGTTCAGTGCTAAAGCACTTGCTTAGCATGCATAAGGTCATGGGTTCTACCCCCAACACTGCAAAAAAAAAAGTTTACACCTGGAGGTTTAGCTCAGTGTAGAACTCTTACCTACCTTGACTTCAATCTCCAGCCCCACCCACGAAACAGTGGGGGAACCAGAGTGAGGGGTAATATAGGAACTTTCTATACTGCTTTTGAAATTTTTCTAATAAATCTAAAATTACTTTAAAAGTTTATTAAAAAGCAACACCAACAAAACTATCCAAGAGACATTTGTTTGAATTAATGTCCCAGAATTTGAAGGTTTCCATGTAATAATAATCAAACATTCTCCTCATTTTACAATGTTCCTGTTCTTTTATTAATACTCTTCTATAAACTGAATTTGTGCATCAATGCAACCAGGTTTTCAATCCAACACACATGGCTATTCCCTTCCCATGCACAATTCTGAAGTGTCAAGTGGCAGATTAGCTGTGTCCTAGATTCTGCAGTAACTAAGTACCCAAAGGTTCTATAAAGTGATTCCAATGTAGATCTATATGCTTTCAAAAAAATGATACGGACTGGGGGCATTGCTAAGTGGTGATGCAATTGCCTAGTATATGTGAGGCCCTTAGTCTAGTCCCCAGCAAAACAACAAACCAACCAAAACCAAAACCAAACCAAACCAAAAGAGCCACATGCACTGGCAATTTTCAGAGACACAGCTGTGACTTACAAGGGATGACATTTGAGCGTTTTGGAGCATAAGCTGCATCTGCTGAGCAAACATGGCGGCGGCTGTCTTCTGTTGGATCAGATTGTTCCTTCCATTAATCTCCAGCTGCGTCTTTAAGTGTGGAGGAGGGTGAAGGTACTTGCAGTTCTCCCGAGCGCACCGACCCTATTGGTAAAGAGTTAGGCAATTTTCAGTTAGTATTTCTAAAATTTGATATGGTTATGAAAATAATAAGTGCTTACTCTAAGCTCTTATCATGTGCCAGGAACAGTCAATAAGCACTTTCTATGAACTAACTCATCTAAACATCATCCCAACCCTGCGAAGTTGATACTCTGGGAATCTTCATCTTCTAGGTGTGAAAATTCAGACTATGAGTGACAAAGTGACTTGCTGATGGAAGCACAGCTAAAAAATGAACGAGGCCCAGTTAGTCTGATTGCAGAACTCCTTCTCTTAGTCAACTCTGCTCTGCTCTACTTTGATGTGCAGCAATTCATATTTAGAACATAAAATATAAGGAACAGTATATCATAAAATTTAAATAAAAATACAAATTTAAATCAAAATCTTCCAACGTAAGATGTAAAATCATGCATGTTTAAATTAACTAAGACTTGGGATTTGGATTCACATGTACGAGTAAGAAAAATCAGGGAAGATATTTAATAATTACACACATAAATAAATATAAATTTTGGATTCCATCATTTGGGACAATCTAGGCTCCAAAGTTTCATTTCCCAAGCCCATATAAAATAATAAAATTCCTGAAATCCACTGACATTCTGCTATTCTTATACCAGGCAGGAGGTTGTTGTTTAGGTTCTAGAAGCAATGACCTTCGAATAACTGGATAACAGAGCAAAGTATATTTTGGATTCTCAGCTATTTCAATGTTTTATTGATTGCTTAAGCACTTTCAAGACAGGATAATATGTTAGTTCTATGACACAACATGTCTTTGGTGTGTGTGATTGTGATAATACAGCGTGTACTATGTGGTAGCAAAGACTGTCACTGCCACACTGACAGTGTTTATTCATACTGTCATAATGTGACCTATTATTGAATTAACTCATGAGCACTACACACAGCAGCTCATGTTTACTTCATTTGGATCGTTAAGACCACCATAATCCTTTTAAGATAAGCACAACTGCAAGTAATTCATTTTCCCACCAATGCTAAGATTCTTTACTGTATGTGAGGTTCTTGGGGGAGGAAGATGAAGGGAGAAAAAAGACAACCTTTTTTCTTTTGGACCCAAGAGTGCTTGCAAGTTGCTAAGCTACCTGAATTCCCAGGAGAAAAATGAGTTAGTTCACCGAGTGTTTTCATTCAACACTCACTATGCATTTTGCTTATTTATAATGTCCAATGGTTTCTGCAATCACCACTCCATATTTAGTTATCCTTCTATGAAAGCATCCTTATAATTTCACTGAGCATCAAGGTATGTCCCTCAAAACTTTTATAGAGCTATGAATAATGCAAACCCAAATGCACTGTGACTGTTCTTTTTTATTTTTTTGAAGGAGTATCCTCATAAATTTGAATATTTTAAAATGGTTATTCTTAATGACATGATAACTGTACACATTCATGGCGTACAGTGTGGTACTTCAGTACATGTACACAATGTGTAATGATCAGCTCAGGATAATTGGTCTATCACCTTTAACATTTATCATTTCTTTGTGCTGGGAATGTTTCAACCACGCTACCTAGCTATTTTGAAATATACAATGAATTGTTTTCAATTATAGTCACCCTACTGTGCTATAGAACATCAAATGTTATTCCAGCTTCCTATCCAGCTTCCTGTCTGTACATGTAGCCATATTAGATCATGGGGACCAGAAGTCTCTATAGTTTTACCTCCCCTGACAAAAAGCTGACTATAACTCAAAAGTTAGTGTGAGAAATTTAAAATACACTACTGTTTTCTGGTCAAGTTTGTCCTTTTGTTTCTCCCATTTTATTTTTAGTCAAACTTAAGTGATTTACAAGATCTAATAACATCTTCATTTCAAATGTAACTTTACGTTCTTCTGCAAGACATGGAAAAAGAATTTATAGGTAGTGAGAGTTGAAAATGATAGTAACCTAATCCTCCTCAATTTATACAAATAGCCTAGGAATGGCTAGCTTCCATGCACATAAGGACTGTAAGGAAATCATGATACATGCTAAAAACCCCAATAATGGGGGTCTTTTCCCCTAAGGGAAGCCATAACCACCACTTTCCATCTACCAGATCTTGTATGAAAGCAAAGACAGTCTCAGGGATTTTAGTGCGTAGATCCTCCACCCTCCACAAAACTGGGGCTATCTGGTCAAAATCCACAGCCTGGAGGAGGCATGGACCTTGGTGACTTTCACCAGCAGGCATGCTAGTGTATGCTTCTACTTTGGAAAACCTCCTCCTTCCTCCTTCTCCTCTCACACCCTAAAAGTAAAGGCTCAGGCCTAAATATTCTGCTGTCTTTTCTCATCTCTTTTTCCCTGGAGAAATGGAGTTGTTCCAAAGTTTCAGGCAGCCCTGCAACTGTCCAGATCTCAAATCCCTATCTACCTCTGACCTCTCTTCTGAATTTCAGTCCTTTTCATCACCAGCTGCAGCTGCATTTGGAGATCCTGCCCCCTAACCAGGTCTAAATACCTTACTCCTGACCTTCCTTCTCCTTTGCCTATCTTTCATCTTGCCACGTAACTCACATTCTGGGCCATTGCATCAATCCCTACGCTCTGGGGCAGTTACACAGCAGCACTAGGAAGAGAAATTCAGCAGCTGCTGAGCGGGATGGCCTGAGAATTGCGAAGCCCATCTAGCCTGCTAGGGACAATTAGCACCCAGGACTAGAGGAAACAATTTGTAACTCCACAACAACCACCACCACCACAAGACTCTATAAAGGCTGTCTTTCATGTTTAGGAATTCCAAACAATAGATTAGTTTTAAAAAAACAACCAAAAAAGAATAATTGGAATTTCACTGTTTGTTGTTAATTTCTTGAATTTTAACATCATTATATTCATTGTAATTAGGGGCAGAGAGAAAAGGAAGGAGAGGGCGAGCACAGTGTATTTGGTACATTTTCTTTCAATCCAGAGATTTAAAAAAAATTCAACATGCCTTTGTGCCTTTAGATCATTGTCCACTACGTATAGTAAACGTCTCTTAAGCTTTTTCTTGGGAAATGAATGACATTTTTCAAAGCAAAAACGGTACACAGAAATAGCAAAAAAAGAAAATTATACTTTAAAAATTACATCAAGTTGGACTATAAAACTAAAGCATGGAATATGAAGCAGAATGAGTTTTAAAGAAACTTATACATCTCAGTTATGAGATTTTACTTGATTTATACAGCATTCTTTGTTGAATGACATAATCCATAATTTAATTCTATAACAATGCAAATGCAAAGCAATACAACCTTACCACAGATTGCTGCTTATGTTAAAGAAAGCTTATAAAATAAAAACTCTGCATTTTCTATCAAAACAATAGATGAGGAGACCAAGTAATTTAATATCTATGTTATCTGTGGAACACAATGTTACAAAGGGAAACCAAACCCCTCCTGTTTTTTTCAAACTGACTTCAAAATTCGGGATAATATATTTTTATGAAAAACACTTGGTGATAATAAACCTCTAGATAGCAGTCATTCTTCAAGAGGCCCAAATTTAGTTATAGGCCAAAATACTTTAATTGACATTTGGGGGAAGGGCAGATGTTGTTTTTGGCATTTGGTAACACTTGCTTTTCATCCTTGGAGGGGATAAAGGCAATGGTAAAGCTGATGTGGATGGAATGGAGTGTGGATGGGGGAGGGATTGTTCCAACAGAGTATGAAATCAACTATTATTCTTGTCCTTTGGAAAACCAGTAACTATGGACTATAAAGGAGAGTTCTAATGATCTCCCTATACCAGCTAAGCACTCTGAATGGACCACAAGATACCTTATCACACTGGATCTCTAATAGCCCAGGAACTATCTTGGGTTTGAAAAGGTTTCGCTAACCAAGTCAATGGTGTTCCAAGCCCTCCTTCTTGCAATCTAGACTCCCAGGTCAGAGTTGCCATGTACTAGTGCAAAGGTCATAAATGTTTTAGATCTCTGACAGTTGCTATCCTTTGGAAGAGTACGCTGTAGCTTAAAAGTAGTAGCTAAGTCTCTCCCATCCCTCAAATAAACACACAAATTAAACATTAAAGTGTTTAGAGCGCAAACCCATTCATGCCTTCCTCAATTTCCCTCCTTTTCCATTTCCTTTTGGCCTTAAAAACATGCCATTCTCATGTGGTCTTTCACTGTGTTCGTGAGTTAAGAAAACAGCAAAGTGATTCAACAGGAAAGGAGTTCTCTGCTGAAATAAGTGCTCCCACACCTAGGAATCTTCCAGTTCCCTTTCTCCACCTACATCTTTCAAAATGCAGCCAAAGAGCAGCAGGGGAGGGAATGGCCAATGACATTTCTGAACCACATCTGCATCAAAAAGTTGGTAACAAAGGAGAAAGCTGCAGAGCATTTATAAAACCTCCCAAATTCAATCTATTGCCTTTTTCCTACCTTCAGGCTTTTCACAAATGAATACAAAGCCTTTGAGAGAGAAAAGTAGCATTGTAGTGATTCAAATCTTACCTAAATCTTGAGCGTTATGAAGAGTCAGAGTCTGTCAGATAACAAGACTTCCCATGCACTTGGTCGTGGAAAAACCCTGTGAAAAGCACTTTCTACTTTCACCAGAAAGCTCTACCATCCATCAGAATAAGAAAAGGGCCCTAGGAAGCAGAAAACTACCTTTGTCAGTCACAGTATCTTAACAAAAACAGCTGTTTGCAGAATGACTTGCATTCTCAAATACATTTGGAGTTGCAGGGGGGAAAAAAATCCCCCAAATACCAACTCTGAAATAGAATTATAACTGGATTGCTTTTTCAAAGACATAATCTCACTGATTTGCCAGACCACCAAGAGTTAAACATTAAATGTTAAACACACCACACGGATAAGTTATTCTATGAAGGAAAATATTCTTATTCCATTTTAATACTGATGTGCTAAATGGAAATTCCACTGTATCATCCTTATATTCATAAACACTGAGAAACCAGTGGAAATGACAGTAAATTTAGAATTGCAAATCATA